AACATTATTCCATATCCCATACTCTAGAACAGCCTTTCTCAACCATTTTATCCAAAGGAATCCAGGAAAAGAATGTTCAGGTCTCAGAGAAGCTCATGCATAAAAATATGAAACCACAACACAATTCTAGCATTGCATGGTGCATGAAGTTCAAAAAACTATTTTTTTTCAATCCCTATCTCGTGAGAATTCCTAGCAACCTCTTGTAAAACCTAAAACTTCCATGGAGCCCAGTTGAGAAAGGTTACAGGGATGGGCAATTAATGTTCTCAAAGGCCACATGAGAAACTGGGACTGTTGTGGAGAGCCAAATCAATAGGACCAACACATTACTGTGAAGATGTGTAGGCACTCATGCACATACATAAATTGGAAAAAAAAAGTAGCAGTCAAATTCAAAATAAAAGCAATGCAGTTGTGTTGCCTATATGCCATTTGCTTATTTACATTCATTTCTAATTTCAGAGTGATTTTATGCAGGGCTGACAGAAAGAGCCAAAGGGCTACATATGCTCTGAGGCCTATAAAATGCCCAGGTCAGCTTTAGAATAATGCAGAAACAAGTCAGGCCCTTCCTTCTTCAATGTGACATATTTTCATGTATTCAAAAAGTGCCATCATCTCCCTAAAATTATTCCCTCTGAAGGCTAAACATATCAAGCCCTTCAGTCTCAATTTCCATTCCTATTTGATAAGCAGAGGAGCATATAATGCCTTGTGGCATCATGTCCTAAAGCAGTATCAAATGCCTGAAAATAGAGACAATCTAACTTGCTGTCTATACATATATCACTGCCTATCTTGACCACCTTTGGAGAAAGGCTTTGCACACAATTGCACATGCCATAATTTAGCCCAAGAGCCAAAATACTATACTGTTACAAAGTGCTACTCTGTATATTGTTGATGTCCAGACCTCTTGACCACATGTTGTTAATTCAGGACAAGATAATCATGCTACTGTACCAAACGAACATAAATCCAAACCAATAACATTAGTTTTGGCACTGCATTAGTAAAAAAAAAAAAAAAAAGATTCCTCCAACCATAATATAAAATCAAAGGAGTGCTAAGAGCTTCAGCATATTAAGAAGTTCATTTATTTTCTATTGCTACTCATTGGTAATAATCTTCAAACCTTTTGATTTATCTGTAATTTTTTTCTCCACAAGCAGTGAAAGTATAAAAGCAATTTCTAGTGCAAGAGCTATGTCGGAACAAAATATCAATACAAAAAGTATTGTGGCAATCAGGGCAAAGAATTGGTTTATTATAACATAAGCTTTTCTAAAGATGGAAATAGAGATTATACCCTAACAGTAAACGAGTCTCACACTCACGTGCATACAAAAACACAAGTTCAGCAGTGTTAAAATTTTCTAGCAACCTGTTCAAGTGTTTTAAGTTTACCAAAAATGAAGGTTTAAATTAATAAAAAATATTATTTTCTGCCCCTAAGCATGATTACTTCTGGTAATACTAGTAATTTCACTAGTATTTTCCTATGACCTAAATACTAAATTCAAAGGAACACATGCAAGTAAATATATGACTGCAGCCATAAATGGTAATCCCGCTATTATAGCCTATTTGTCATAATCAAAGATGATTGATGCAGAAATGTATGGTAATAAGACATAATGTGAGAATTACATATGAATATTAATAAGGCAGCATATGATAAATTTGTTTCTAGTACATATCTTGAGATAGAGGGTTAAACACAGTTACAGCACTTAACAATTTTTTTCTCTTACCTTTCAAATAGAAAGTATTTTATTTTCCTTAACTAGGGCACATATTATATCATCTTACATAATTTAATAATACAGGTAGTCTTTGATCTACAACAACTTGTTTAGTGACAGTTCAAAGTTACAAAGGCACTGAAAAAAGTGACATGACCATTGTTCACAGCTACGACCTTTCCAGCATCCCTATGTTCATGTGATCCAAATTCAGATGTTTGGCAACTGATTTATATTTATGACGGTTGCAGTGTTCCAAGATCACGTGATCATCTTTTACGACCTTCTGACAAGCAAAGTCTATGGAGAAGCCAGATGGACTTTTAACAACCGTGTTACTAACTTATCAACTGCAGAGATTCATTTAACAAGAGTGGCAAAGAAAGGTGGTAAAATGGGGCAAAACTCACTAACTGTCTCAGTTAGCAACAAAAATCTGGGGCTCAACTGAGACTGTAAGTCGAGGACTGCCTATATAGTGGAACTGAGCTGAGACTTAAAATAACTGAATACATTTACTCTGAATTTGAGGGAACCTCTTTCTGCCCTATTATCCCAAGGTGGTTTAGGAAGAAAGGCATTCAGAAACAATTCTTTTGTTCTTTTTTATCCTTCTTCCCAACTCCAGAGAATGTTTGAAAGGAATTATGTAAAAGAGGTCAAAATTCTGTCAGTCTGACAATCAGAACAAAATGTGATCTAGTTTGGTATGGTAAGACAAGTCAACAAAAGAAAGACCAAATTCAAAAATGACCCAGATTTGGTTGGAGGCTGTAGAGCAAAAAATCCAGAAACAAATTTCACAGTGCATCACTGTGGGAAAGGGAGCTGGCATTGGCCACAAGGTAATAATGATGATGATGATAATAATAATGATGATGATGATGATGTTGGAAGGGACCTTGGAAGTCATCTAGTCCAACCCCTGCACAGGCAGGAAACCCTATACCATTTCAGACAAATGGCTGTCCAGTCTCTTCTTAAAAACTTCCAGCGTTGGAGCATTCACAGCTTCTGGAGGCAGGTTGTTCCACTGGTTAATTGTTCTGTTAGAAAATTTTTCCTTAGTTCTAGGCTGCTTCTCCCTTTGGTTAGTTTCCTTCCGTTGCTTCTTGTCCTGCCTTCAGGCGCTTTGGAGAATAGCTTGACTCCCTCTTCTTTGTGGCAGCCCCTGAGATATTGGAAAACTGCTATCATGTCCCCCCTCGTCCTTCTCTTCATTAAACTAGGCATGCCCAGTTCCAGCAACCATTCTTTATGTTTTAGCCTCCAGTCCCCTGATCGTCTTTGTTGCTCTTCTCTGTACTCTTTCTAGAGCAGCGGTTCTCAACCTATGGGTCGCGACCCCATTTGGGGTCGAATGACCATTTTACGGGGGTCGCCAAACAACGCGATCTGCCATTTTTCCCCCTCAGGGGGCGGCGCCGCGCATGCGCGCCGCGTCCGTGTGACCAGGGGTCGCCGTATAAAAAGGTTGAGAACCGCTGTTCTAGAGTCTCAACATCTTGTTGATCACTGTTCCATTATAAGCTCCTCCCTTCAGGTCACATAACCCCAGACAGGATTGATTGAAAAGAATTTCAGTACAGTAGTCATGATCTGCATGTTTTCCCTAATTTGTTCTTTTTCTATAAATGGCTTAAAACAGAATTTAGAGATACCCAGTTCTAATCTTGTTTTAGTCCAAGGGTGGGATTGTTTCATCTCTTTTTCACAGAAGCAGCCTATGTTCAATAATTATCTCCAAATATCTCTTCACAGTAGCTAGTAGATAAATATATTGGTTCCCATATTGAGGCCTCAAAAGTTCTATTAAATTTATTATTTATACTAAGCAACCTATTTCTATTTTTAATAAAAACATTTCCTTGTAATGTATACTTACTTCCAATGTTTATTTATTTATTTATTAAATTGGGTACTTACTTTCATTCACCCCACTGAATTGGATATGAACTTACTTTAAATAAGCATACAGAATATCAGCTTGCATTTCAGCCATGTGAAGCTCCAACTTAAACGTAGTTATTCAGAGATAATTCTTGAGACTTTCAAACTTTATTAATGGTTTAACTCTAAGTTAGGGATAGTTTTGTGTTCTTCAAAAATATTTTTTTGAAATCTGTTAGGGCCTCTCCCCTTATTTGGTAGATGTTTTTCTACTGAAAATTATTGAATTAATTATAGATGCTGACTCATATTAGTACTGTTTTGTGTTTTAATCACAACAAAAAACTCTAAACATAATAGGTGTCCACAACTCTGTGTCTAAAAATAAAAAGACACATAAATGCTTTTGAAACTTTGATAATTCCTGAAAATTACTTAAAAGTTATTTTATAGGTGGAGCTAGTTACTACTGTTACAACCTTCTGTATATTACATATTACAGTAATTCACAGATAAGGTTTTTTTTTAAATATTAGTTGATAAAAATGTTTCATGGATGCTCTGATCAAAATAAATTTAAACAGCTGAGATAACATTCTACAAAGCTGAATTGCATTAAATGGATTGATCTTTGAACTTTCAGAGGCAAGTAGGTCAACAATTAGATGTCAGTTACTACCTGTATGTCTGCTTAAATGTGAATATGCATTACTAGTCCCATCTAGTACCAATCTAACACTTCTTGTTGAAATTCAACAGCCGTTTAATAAAACGAAAATAAGCAGGGGGGAAAGTGAGTCAGTTCTTCCTCAGCAAAAGTTGTCCTGTTTTCAGTTACATGAGTTGAATGCAAAGATTCAGAACTACAGGTGCATCTACTGTGCAACTGCCCATCTTGGCAACCTTCCTGCCTCTCCTTTTTTTTTTTCAAAAAATTTTTTTTACTCAATTTGGAACCCAATACTCCTACACTCCGGATTTAGTTTTACAACCCAATTACGTCAATCATCCTAAATACATTATTTTCCCCCGCATTCCCTCGCCGTTAGCCGTTCATCTTGGGTCCAACTAGACACGGGCTTAACTGCTTTGGGGAATCGCTGGAGCAGCGATAGATTAAGTGCTTTGGGGATCGCTGGAGCAACTATAGATTTCGTTTACGAGGTACAGTATATCACATGCACGCGTGCACATTTCTAACCGCAACTCACTCAACTCCGGAAATGCCCAAAGCGCGCTGTACCTGCCCCAATTCACACGCTCATCTCTCTATCCTTCACGGACATGACAGCGCAGAAAGCAGAAGCATCGTCTCGCAAGCAAGGCAGGCAGACAGAAACCGCGAGCTCGCATCGCCTGTACCTTCTTCACGTTCCCGGGCGGCTGGCGGCGGTTGCAGTCCCTCGCTGCCTCTCCAAACTGTCCTCTAAAAACAACAAGCCTGACCCACCACGTCCCGCCTGAATCTCCCAGAGCTCCGGTGCGGCCGGAAAGCCTCGGACAGGTTCCCTGGTTACCGAGGGCAACAATCCTACCCCAGCGACAGCCGCGTTTACATACAGAGACAGACACAGACACATACAAACGAACGCACAGACGCGCGCGCGCAGCCACCGAGAGGTGTATGCACTACTGCACCTAGCAGTAGCCAGCGGGTCTCGGGAAGCCCCGCCTCTTTCTCGCCGCCTTCAGCGGAGTACGCAGGGCTCTTCCTCAGCTGCTGGGTGGTTTTTTTTTTTGTTTTTTGTTTTGTTTTTTTTTTTACTTCCGCGTCTGGAGGGAGGCTAGAAAGGAAGGCAGGAAAGGGAGCAGGTGCGTGCGCGTCTACTGGAATGGAGGGAGGGAGAGAGAGGTGAACTCGGCGGCCGCTCCAGGATCCGGCCGAGCAGAGATGCTGCGCCAGAGTCAGGCCAGATGGGCCTGGGCGGGCACGCGCGAGGCAGGATCGGGGCGCCCTCTTTGAGTCCGAGGACCCGAGCGCGCGCCTGCCCGAGAAAGTCTGCCTCTGGCCATTCGCCAGAGGCAGACTTTCTTGCCAGGAGCAGCTATTGGGGCATTTGTGCCTCTCTCTCTCTCTCCCTCTCTCTTCCCCTCACTTTCTCCCTCCCTCCCCTCCCCTCTCTCTCTCTCTCTCTCTCTCTCTCTCCCCCCTTACCTTTCGCCATCTCCCTCTCCCTCCCTCCCTCCGTTTCCCTCCCTTCCTCTCTCTCTCTCTCTCTCTCTCTCTCTCTCTCTCTCTCCCTGCCTCCCACTCCGCAAAAATATTCCCCAGCCCTCTTGTTAATAGAAGGGTTTAGCCGCAGCGCGTACGGCCGAATTTGTGGAAAGGGCGAGCGTGTAACGTGTCTAGGGGAAAGGGTGATGTACTGTATACTATGGGGGCGGCGGCGGAGGAGGTGAAGAAGAGCCTCCATTTTTTTCAAGGACAGAACCTCTCACGTGATCGAGCTAAAATCGAAAAGAAGCGAGTTACGGTTTGGGTAGCAAACGTGTGCCTCGCTTCATGACGGCCCACCCAAAAGGAACCTGTGCAAAAATGCAATTCATTTCTTTTCCCTTGCACTTGAGATGTCAGATGCACATCACGTATTTTCACTCCGCTTAAGTCGTGACATCTTAAATCTCATACATCTTAAATCTCACATACATTTATAGGTAGACCTGGCGATGTCCCCTGATCTGGCTCTCGTGAAACTTATGCAGGTAGCCCTCGACTTAAACCACCACAATTGGGAACATAATTTCCCTTGGTAAGCAAGGCAGTTGCTGAGTCTCATCCAATTTGATGACCTTTTTTGACATGTTGTTAAGTGAATTGTTGCAGTTGTTAAGTGACTCACACAGTTATTAACCAAACTCAGCTGCCCCCATTGACTTTGCTTGTCAGAAGCTAGCTGGGAAGGACGCTGCAGCCATCCTAAATAAATGCTAGTTGCCAAGTACCTGAATTTTGATCATGTAACTGGGAGGATGCTACAACTCGCCTAGGTGCAAGGACCAGTTGTCAGCCACTTTTTTCATTGCCACTGTCGCTAAAAAAAATGATGGTAAGTCGATCCACTCTGCAGCCTTCCCTTTCTGAGATTTTTTTCCCCCAATTTTGTATTTGCTTATTTTGCATTTTCTATTTTTTCTATAAAATTTGTTAAGATAAATATATATTTATTGGTAATAAAACTGTTCTGCAGATGGTTGTGTTTCTATACTTTCATATGACATATGTTCTTGCAATGCTTGATAAAAGGATTGCTTGACTGCCATGAGTTCTCAGTTCCAGTCAAAACTATTGGGCTATTTGGATCATCATCATCATCATTATTATTATTAATCTGTGTTTTCCAATAAAGCACTTCAGCCAGAGATTCACTCATTTGTGATTTTAAAACTATACTACTAATACTGGAATATGCTTTATTGGTAGTTATTACGATAATTTGCAAGTACTCCTTGCTATAGCTAGAGATGCCTTACTGGGAACATCTTCTAAAACAGTATCCCTCAACTCTCTTAATGGACACATCCTAGTAGTTTTCTAGGCAGCAATACAGAAATTTGTTCTAGAATTTCCCAATTTTGGTATTCCTTGGGAAGTCCCAACCAAGAACTAACCAGGACAAACTCTGCTGGGTCTTCCAGTCCTAACAATTTCCCACTTTGTTAGTGCTGCCACCTACTAAGCGGGATCAGATCCAGTTTCCCTACTTGGTATGCTCCAGATGTTTGGTTACCACACTCATCAGCATGGCTGTTGCTCAACTGGAATATTCGTTCGGCACCATTCTTAGCAGTATGAGGAATCTAAAACATTCCATTTGAGTTTTAAAACTAACTTGTTACTCAGAAGCAGAGGGGAGGTGGGAGGTAATCAACTAAGGGAAGCTGTCAACATTCGGAAGGGATGGTATTGTTTGCCTCGAAAAAGACAGTGATTGGGTGTCTTTGGAAAAGGCTGTTCCTGTGTTAGACAACTTCGACCCAGTGTGCGGCCTTTCCTTTCTGAGATTCTCTTGCCCCTGACTTTGTTTTTGTTTGTTTTGCATTTTCTATTTTTTCTATAAAACTTGTTAAGATAAATATATATTTTAATGATCTTTTAAAATCGGAGTTTAGGTTGGTCTGAGGTGGAATTTAAGCAGGTCATTGACTCCTGGTCCTCCTAAATCTCCTGGTGGCATTTCATACTACTGGCCACACCTATAAAAGTTTCAGGCCACCCAGAAGGGTTGAGATTCTATTTTATCACTGAATATAGTAGTTGTTTATAGCATGTGTGTGATGGAACACTTTTCTTTCTCCACCTCTGTTTAACATTTGCTGGGAGAGTGTCAGCTAGTAATTTGAATTGAGATTTAGCAATACATCAATGATATTCTAGCTGCTGATGTAATGGAAATCCAGAACTGGTGTCTGAAGGCTGTGAGAATTTGAAAGGGAAAAAAAATATTTAAAATTGAATTCGAACTAGAAAGAATTAACAGAATGACAGAGTTGGAAGGGATCTTGGGGATCTTCTAGTCCAGCCCCCTGCTCAAGCAGGAAAGCCTATACCAATAATGGCGAACCTTTTAGAGACTGAGTGTCCAAAATCCAGCCCTGCCTCACCCTGCCTGCCCCAGGCCACTCACTGCCTCCATGGCTCACCACAGATCATTCAGGCAGCCCAGCAGCACCATATGAGCCATGGCCTCTGCCTGCACCCCACAGCATCAACTGCATGCAATGGAGCGCAAGGGCGGAGTCTTGTCCCTGCTGCCCGGCTGACATGTTCTTGGCTGCTCTGCTCCGTGCGGGCCACGCTCAGGGCCAACTCTCATCCGGGGGGGGGCTGCTGGTGAGGAGAGAACCGTGGGGGAAGTGGGGCTGGGGCAACAGCGCATGGGCCCACCTCCTGCACATGTGCCATAGGTTTGCCACCATTGCCGTATACCATTTCAGACAAATGGTTGTCCAATCTCTTATTAAAAATCTCCAGGGTTGAAGCACCCACTGTCTGTCTCTTTCGACTCCAGCAGTAACTCTGGATGAGATAGCATTACTTGGGAGTAGCAGGTGTGTAACTTGAAGGTTGTTACAGACTTAAACAGCTACTGCTGAATAAGATGAAGACTGTTTATTTAGAGAGAAACCTTTGCTCAGCTTTGGCTTTCCTGGAGAATGAGGTCCTGCTTGACAACATCAAGTTATGGTCCTGTAAACTCCCAGTTAGATTACTGAAATATGGCATACATGGAGTTACTTTTGAAATCAACCAAAACATGCAATTAGTAATTTGCACTTTTTGCAGTTAATAGTCCCTGTTCACACATAATACTACTGCTGAGGCTTCTACATTAGGCTACCAGTAGTGCTGTTTTTTTTTTAAACTTCAAATTACACATTGCTTGGCACCAGCCCAAATACAGGATTTCAAATAAATCCTGCTTGTACAAGTAGATGGATCTTGAATGTGGTTGTTTTTCTAATTGTAATTTAAGATTCGGGTTGACTATTTTTAGGATTAGCAACTATCCCTTTCACATTTCTGTTATTTTAACTTTATTTAATTTATTGTACACTACCATTAATTTATGTGGATACTGATTTATGATATATACATAAAATAATTGCAAATAAATATACATAAATCCTTTTTTTGAGTCTCCAATGTGTTTCTGTTGCCTTTGGTTGTTGACCCTCTGGGTCACATTTTTAGAGGGAGGGATTAGGAAAAGTCATCTCCTCCCTCTGCCCCCCTCCTATAGTGGCTCCTTCTTTCAGATGGGAAATGTATTCCATTAATAGAGAGTAATCACTGATTTGTGGATTCATAACCTTTATAACATTTAGTTGGTGGATCAAAATCCCTACTGTTTGGGGATCTAGTATTAATTGACTAACTATTTAAACTGTTAGATCCAGATTTGAGTTCTGTGGAATTCTACTTGCATTCTTAGAAGCTGGTGAGTGGAAATATTTGCCAATTTCTCATTCCATCTGTACTCCTCTATGCTTGATTAGACACTGAAAATGAAGCTTAAATACTTTGGCCACCTTATGAGAAGAGGGGACTCAGTGGAAAAGACCCTGATGTTGGGAAAGATTGAAAGCAAAAGAGAAGGGAATGGCAGAAAATGTGAGGGTTAGAGAGTGTCATATACACAATGAACGTGAATTTGGGCAAACTCTGGGAGACAATAGAGGACAGGATCATGAAGAGTCAGATCGGATGTATCTTAGCAACTAAACAACATGCTTCCCAAAAAGTAGCTCCAGAAGGCTACAGGATCTTCTAGAAAATTATAAGGCAGATGCCTTATGTAATTGGTTAATGAGATTTAGAAAATGTATCACCTGCATAGGATTCCAAGGGTTTTTTTTCTACAAGTGGAAGGAGTTATGAATATAAATCTAAATTTCAGCCATTGTGGCCAAACAATGAATGGTAGATATTAAGACAGGGTCCCCAATCCCCAGGCTGCAGCCCACTAGTGAACTGGACCGTGCAAGCAGTGGGCGAGCACATATGTGCAGTTCCTTTGGCATGAGTGGCAGGCGCTTGACCTTGTGCGCAAAGCTCCATTGGTGCAAGCGGCACACATGCGCACATGCTGCATACACAAATGGAGCTATGTGCATTTGCACATATGCCTGCCATTCATACAGAATCATTCCCTCTCCCCCACACACTGGGCCGTCAAGCCGGGGACTGCTGTATTGAGCCATATGTGAAAAGAATATCTTTGCTCAGGTTTTGATGATATGCCAATTTGTTCAAATATAATAAAACCAGCTTAATACATGATTAAACATTTTTGAATAATTTATAATCCATAGCTAAACATTCTTCAGCATTTCAGTCTTCCACTAGTTGAGTAGTCTTCAAATTATGTATCTGTGTGCTACTGATGGACCCTGAAGACTAAGCTATCATTAATTATTCCAGTACATCTTGTTTTGTTCTTTTTGTCCAGAATGCCTTAATTGTAGATTAAGCAACTCTTAATTATTTTCTGCTAAGGATTATTCACAGTTCTGCAGGCTATGAGGACAACAGTTCCTTTGTCCAGTATTTACATAACTTTGAACTATCTTTTCA